ATTTCTAATTTTCTAATATATATTAGACATAATTCAGTAATTCACTTATCTACCATGTTTCTAATTTTTTCTAATATATATTAGATATAATTCAGTAATTAATTTATCTATCATATTTTCAATATTCTAATATATATTAGACATAATTCAGTAATTTATTTATCCATCATATTTTTAATATATTTGATTTATTTCATCCGTTGCTGCTGACGCATTGAATTATTTCCCTCCATTGTCGTGCTCGTTCCATCGTGTCTGTCACTTGGTACGGCCATGTGTTTATCTGTCTCCTGTTATTATATCACGCAGAACTTCGTGCTGTCAACAGTCGCTGGTAAAAGGAGCACCCTGTCTCGACATTAGTGGGCAGCAAACAAAAAAAAAAAGGAGAAAAACAGATTTAGAAATGCATTCCGGGGGGCGGTCTCCCAACGAGACCGAATATCTAAGAATATTTCTGTTTTACGTAACACGTTATATTTTTCCATCTCTTTTGAATTGTATTTATTAATAAAATTGAAAATATATTACATTTTTCCCTCTCTTTTGGGTTGTATTTATTAACAAATTTTAAAACCTGAAAATTGAAAATTCATTTGAAAATTGAAATTACATTTTTGCATCTCTTTTAGGTTATATCTATTAACAAAATTGAAAATCTGAAAATTGAAATTACATTTTGCCATCTCTTTTAGGTTATATTTATTAACAAAATGTTAGGTTCTCAATTAAAGCCCCATAGATCCAATCACAAAGTACACAATAATAAAAATAATTAATAAGATAACTATTTTCTATTCAAATCTGTCAATCCATCTTAATAATAATAATAATAAAATTTAACTTTCTCAATCAAAGTTTGAAGATGCCCTATAATACCTTATTAGCTAATCCTTGGAAAATCTAGGTCAAAATCTCACTTACAGTAAACCGAATTATTCAACTTTATAGTTGCTTAACTTTACTGTCGTCTAAGTTCTAATCCTAATGCCGAATTATACAGGGTGTTCGACTACCCCTGGGAAAATCTTTAATGAGAGATTCTGGAGGCCAAAATAGGACGAAAATCAAGAATATCAATTTGTTGATTGAGGCTTCGTTAAAAAGTTATTAACAAAATTAAATTAACAAATTTCAAATCGTTCTAAAAAAATTATTTTCGATTGCAGGGGTCCATTACAATCATATTTGGTCGAGAGACATATCCTCAAAATCCTACCCACTTTCGAGAAAAAAATTCGAGTAGGTGGATTTTGTCGACAAAATTAAAAAATTACAAATTGAATTGAAAAAATTATTTTTGGTTGCAGGGGTCAATTACAATCATTTTTGGTTATAACAGATACTCCTGAAATCCTACCTACTTTCGAGAAAAAAATTCGATTAGATACTGAAATTTTTAGACGAAATTAAAAAATTTCAAATCATACTAAAAAAATTGTATTTAGTTACAGGGGTCAATTACAATCATTTTTTATCATTAGACATATCCATGAAATCCTAACCATTTTCGTGAAAAAAATTCCTTACAGGAAATATAATGCCTGACCATAAATATTTCCCTGTATATGTTTAAAAATTCATAACTCCTGAACGGTTTGGAGGATTTTAATGTTTCAAAAGGCAAACAACGCGTATTTTAGTAAAGAATACTTAGAAATTCTAAGAATCTTAGAAAAGTTGGTCCTTGACCCCGTAAAATGAAAAAAAACCCCCATAAAAATCGATGAATTTTCAAAATGCCATAACTCCGACAATAGTGAATGGATTTGATTGAAATTTATTTCTGAAGTAGAACTCATTGATACCTACAAAAAAGTATTATACAATTTTTCTATAGGGCGTCAAGGAAAATTACTAAAAATGATAAACGAATTTCTAAGAAAAATCGACAGTAAAATTTTTCGACGAAATTAAAAAATTTCAAATTAAACTGAAAAAATTATTTTCGGTTGCAGGGATCAATTACAATCAATTTTGGTGAATAGACATACCCCTGAAATTGTACGCATTATCGAGAAAAAAATTCATTACTGAAAATAAAGTGTCTTACCATAACTGTCTATTAACCTGAAAATTGAAAGTTTCAAATCCTTCTAGAAAAATTATTTTCGATTGCAGGGGTCAATTACAATCATTTTTGGTGAACAGACATGCCCCCGAAATTCTACGCATTTCGGAGAAAAAAATTCAGAATGTTGAACAAATTTTTCGACTAAATTAAAAAATTTCGAATCATTCTAAAAAAATTATTTTCTGTTGAGGAGGTCAATTACAATCATTTTTGGTGAACAGACACACCTTCGAAATCCTGCGTACTTTCGAGAAAAAAATTCATTACTGGAAATAAAATGTCTGACCATAACTCTCCATTACCCTGAAAATTAAAAAATTTCAAATTATTTTAAGAAAATTATTTTCGATTGCAGGGGTCAATTACAATCATTTTTGGTCATTGGACACATCCCCGAAATCCTACGCACTTTCGAGAAAAAAATTCATTACTGAAAATATACCGTGTGGCTCTAAATGTTTCCATAACTTTTTAACGAAGCCTCAATCAACAAATTAGTATCCTTGATTTTCGTCTTATTTTGGCCCCTACTATACAACTATAAAATCATTATATGAAATATAAACAACAAACACATAAAACTGTTTAAATAGATTTTCAACGCCACTAATCAGAATTACTAAATCAAACATAACAAATTAACCGATAATTCCAGTGGACTTAATCCGATATATGGAGTACATAGAACATTTAGAATAATCCGTACGAACGGATAGATGAGACAGAACTGGTGAAATAAATGTTATTTGAATCTACACACTAATTAAATTAAATAACCAAATAAATTTTTACGAAAATGAAAAAATTAAAGGCAATGTAAACTCGTCTACTCCCTGAAATGTAATTTTACTTCACTGCAATAAAAGGTACATAGAAACTTGGAATGAACACCATCAATAAATTAGACTTCGCTGAAAAGTGGCCTGAAACTAAAATTCAACCGTTCAATGTGCTGCAATTTAAAATTCGATCGACCATATTTGGCAACTCTGAAGCGATAGTTCGCAGGCAAATTGGTTGGGTCGAAATTCACCGAAAATTCTCATCAGCCTCGCTCGACATTACCAGGGAACTCGATTAATCGCCATTTTGTAGAGACGTTCATAATTAAATGAGAAATAAATCATTCGGGTTTGCAACGCGTCGTAATAAAAATGCAAAACGATTCGAACGGAGGTGAATCAATTAATCATGACGACTCGTATCGATAATTAATTCAGCTCGTTACATTCTGACCCAATTTCCAGACGTATCAGATCCCCATGAAGGAATCGTCTCTCTGAGAAATTTCACACAGGTTTCGTCAAATTCCAGCAAAAAGCTAAACTTACCACGTCGTGTTTGAGAAGAGCTCGAAACGTACCCTTTCAATTTAATACGAGGACTGTTCAAACATGCTCCCACGAGCTATTTAATAATTGTATTTAATATCTAACAAAGGAATCACCCTCCAACGAATTTAACATAATACATTTTACAAGTCAAAATTAGAAATACTAGTTGTATTAGGTCGTTCCATAACATAGGATAACATTTCTAATTTAATAGAAAACAAAATTTCTCAGCTCTCATTCGCATCGTAAAGTTAGGTCTCTGATATTAAAAAAAAGAAAAATATTATTTCGGTCATTTTTCCTTCGTCAAATCGAAGCTACCAACACGTTCACTGTCTGTGACCCACATACGGCTCACGTCGCAACGGGGTGGATTTCAGTTCCATAACATTTTTAATTCAATAGAAAACAAAATTTCTCAGCTTTCATTCGCATCGTAAAGTTAGGTCTCGGATATCATTATTTCGGGTCATTTTTCCTTCTTCAAATCGCAGCTGCCAACACGTTCACTGTCTGTGACCCACATACGGGCCACGTCGGAACGGTGTGGATTTCAGTTCCATAACATTTTTAATTTAATAGAAAACAAAATTTCTCGGCTCTAATTCGCATCGTAAAGTTAGGTCTCGGATATTGAAAAAGCAAAAATTTTTTCTGTCATTTTTCGGTCTTCAAATCAAAGCTGTCAACACGTTCACTGTCTGTGACCCACATACAGGTCACGTCGCAACGGAGTGGGTTTCAGTTCCATAACATTTTTAATTTAATAGAAAACAAAATTTGCCAACTCTCATTCGCATCGTAAAGTTAGGTCTCGGATATTGAAAAAAACAAAAATTATTTCTGTCATTTTTCGGTCTTCAAATCAAAGCTGTCAACACGTTCACTGTCTGTAACCCACATACGGGTCACGTCAGAACGGGGTAGGTTTCAGTTCCATAACATAGGATAACATTTTTAATTCAATAGAAAACAAAATTTGTCGGCTCTAATTCGCATCGTAAAGTTGGGTCTCGGATATTGAAAAAAAAAAAATTATTTCGGTCATTTTTCCTTCGTCAAATCGAAGCTCCCAAGACGTTCACTGTCTGTGACCCACATACGGGTCACGTCAGAACGGGGTGGGTTTCAGTTCCATTAGAGTGGAAAAAAAGAAATTGCTGTCTCTATGGGTAGCTCGAACCGGAAAACCGATCCTATTCGCATCAATCGTCGATTCAATCGTCGTTAGTATAGATTCACCGGATATTCTCGCGAACGGTTTAATACGATTGCGGCAATTCCACTGCGACGACAATCTAATATCCCTCTGGAACAATCAAGCTGGCTGAACCGTTTCACGGCACTCTATAGAACGTATTCTATTCCGAAAGCTCAAAGAAACTCGACGCTGGGCGGGCCAATTAGTCTATTCAATAATCAAACTGTTAGTTTGGCAACTCAGTAATTGTGAATTTATTTAATAAAATAAAAGACTATTTTCTCGTGGAACGAAATAACTTTATTTCTGACGAATCTTGGTGATCGCAGGTACTCGAAAAGTTAAGGTTTCTAATCGAAGAACGTTGTGAAAAAGTGGTTGACTCTTTCAGCAAACCGGATAACAGATTCGAGAAGAAATCCTGCAGGAATCAGGAATCAGGAATCTATTATCCTCAGACAGTAATTGCAGAGATCACAGTGTCGGAGGTAACTCGAGAGGACGTGTGATTGAAATGTGAATCTTCTGAGAAACCCTCGACTTACCGACGGTCGATAAGGAAGGGCAAAAGGATCTCGAAGGGTAAAGAAGACTCGTAAAAATGGACGACGACGATACCGACGAGAAACGAGAGTCGTTGACCTTGGTGAACACACTGTCTCGCAAGGAGATCAAGACGAAAACCCTGGTGACCTCTCGATTCACTTCTAGAACCTCCACGTTAACGTCTTTACGGCCCAACTCGACAGAGGACTCCGACACTATGGAGGGCGCCTCAGAGAACGAAGCAGAGAACATTCCCAAGGACGACGAGACGCCAGAGCCTCTGGTCACCGACGAAAAAGGCAACAGGATCTCAGGTGGCGATCGACACTCGTTGGACGTTCCCGAGGAGGCAGAGTCCCTGCTGCTGAGACGCCAGGTGATGAATGCCAGCCTCAAAGTGGAGGAGTCCAGACTATCTGGGCCCTCTGGTGTTCGTATCGGACTGTTGAACAAAACTGCTAGGTCGTCGTCCAGCGAGGAGGAGTACCAGCCAGAGGTGAAGAGCCTGTCCACCTTGCACAAGCAGCAACACCACCAGCAACAGCACCTCCTGACGACAGTGAGCGGTGGGCAAATCACTGCCAGGTCCATGGAGAGCCTGAGGACCTCGAAGAACTTCCTCAGCGCAGAGGATCGCTACACAGACGACTCCAAGTCCCTGGAGTCACTGTCTCTATCCTCTGAATCTCACGTGACCGGGTCCAGAACCCACTACAGAAGCTTCCTGACCTCCTCCACGAAGGACGTGAGGAAGATCGTGACCGTAGAGTCCAGAAGCAGCGATAATCTTCACAGAGAGGAGAGCCTGAACGCTGAGGTCAGACGCGGCTTGTTCGCCAACACAGGCTTGGAGAGGAAGATCCCTCAACACCTGAGCCTACCACCGCCCACCAACGTGTTCTCGTTGACCAGCCCCGGTGGCAGCGATCGAAAGATCACTATACTGAGCCCCCACTCGCCGTTACAGTCCACGGAGTTTCAGTTCGCGTGCCAGACGCTCAAGACCAGACGCAAGAAGGCTATCGTTCTGCCGAGGTTGGTGTTGCCCAGAAGCGATTCCGAGGTCTTTTTAGAGTGAGTAGTTCACACATGATAGAGTTGATGGTTTTGGGAGACGACTCGTTTGGCTGGGCACCTGCAGTGCAAGGTCGAGAGAACTGCTTTACCGACTTACCCCCTATGTTGTTCCCTGGGGAAAAATTTTAACACTTTACCGACCGGTAGCGGTTGATTAATCGGCTATCGGTCGGTAAGCGTCGGTCGGTAAGCGTTGGTCGGTAAAAAAGTTGATTAATACGCTATCGGTCGGTAAGCGTTGGTCGGTAAAAAAGTCGATTAATAAGCTATCGGTCGGTAATGTGTTAATGGGGGATTGTAGAGGCCAAAGTAACTTTTTAATTGAAGGGTGGCTGAACACCCTGTACGTGACAAAACTTTAGACAAAATGTCTTGAAAGGGGAAGCCATCGAGTCGTCTCTCTATGGTAAATGTGTCTACAAAGAGTCGACTAGTAGGGCGTGTTGTAGGAGGCGGGGCTGTCGCTTGCTCCACCCATCCCCACTCTCGTGGTGGTGCACGTGACCGATAGGTGGGCCCACCAAGCGCTAGACTAGAGTGGGGGACCAATCAGAGCCACGTTGTACACTGCTCAAGTCACCTAACGGGGGAAACCCTGTTAAATGCTTTTTGATTTTTATTGAAATTATTGATAAATCCAGTACGTCGATAGTTTGACGTGCAAACGTGCCCTCGATAGGCAACGTGTGTACTGTCATGAAATAGAACCGGTTGTTTCGTCGATAATTCGATTAGGCAGCGTTGTTTGCGGAGCACGTTCGGTTGTGTTGGTAACTGCTCCGTGATCGACTCTCGAGATATCGGTTTCCGCTCCGCTCTAAGTGGATTTCTGCTTTGCTCTTGTTACACTTCCCATTCGAATTCGATCTTCGTACGGGAAACCATGGAGATTCGGTTTCCACGGAGCAGACGGCGATAATCCGGGGCTCGTTAATTTCCCATTTCGCGATAGCAGCGCCATGGAAGTATCCAATTTGAGATAGCTTGCTAATCAAATAGTCCTCGCGTTAAATTAAACGTAGACGTGCATTCTGGAAGACGTCCAGATGTTATTTGCGAAACAAATTAGCGGTATAGTCGAGGATGAATTTGAAAAATTTTATTTTCAGCGAAACAAATTTATTAAAATTTTGTCAAATAAATTTTTGAAATATTAATGGGAATTGAGAAGACCTCGATTCTTTTTAGTAATATTTAATACATATTTTTTTTAAATAAACATTGACGATGATTATTGAGTATTGAGCACCGATTGTAGGTATAAAAAAATATGGTTTTTAATAGGTAGAAATATTTTAAGTTTTTTTATAACAAAATTGGCACAGAACTGCAGAGTAGAAGACTAGAAATAGATAATCAAATTCAAGAAAACTTAAATCTACTATGGGTTAGGAAAACTACTTTACCGACGAGAATTTTCTCTAGCACTTATCGTTTCCTGAACGATAACACTGTGGCAGCACTGAAAAATTGTAAATTATAAATAGAAGTGTTACACGAAATCCCATTAAATGATTCTCGTTTATGGTTATTCCATATCAGTGACAATATCAACCATTTATTTCATTATAACCATTTTTTCAATTTTTTTTGTAATATGTACAGTAAATTGAGTTTTTAAAGCTTCATATTACAAAGGAAACAATTTTAATACGTAGTTTCGAGTGTGTATTTTGTAATATAAAACTAATAAAGATTGAGAAACACTGCACTTATCATTTCAGTGTCGAATCCAACGTTATCGACCGAGAGTGGCACAAGACTACAGCGCCACAAACTATGCAAATTAAAAACTAAAATGTGGGAAAAGTTATGACTCAAAAAACGATGAAAATGATCCGAATTTTCGATTTTTCCCCGTTTTTTGAACTAGTAACTTTCTTCACATTTAGTTTCAATTCTCATACCATAGAGCGCTGCAGTCTTATTTCATTCTCGATCGATAACGTCGGAATCTACACTGAAATGGTAAGATCAGTGGTTCTCAACCTCCAGAGTTTTATTTATCGTACATCTATCGTGATTGTGATGAAAATAAAAATATTTTTCACTTATAGTGTACAATATTATGCTACAAAGTACACTCCAACGAGTATAAAACTCAAGTTATCAACTTTGATGGAAACTTAAAATTGAAAACAAAGTTCTGAGTGTTGTGAAAGTACAATAACGAATATTTTAAAATTCTTTTGATTCTTGTCTGGATAGACTAATGACCAATTGAGCCCCAAGTTTCTACTAAATTGAGTTAACTAGTGTTTAAATTAATGTAATCCAGAAATGTTAGTGCAATTTCTAATGAAGAAATCGGTGTTAAATTTTTAGTAGATCACATTGCTCCGGTGATTTTCGTTGTTACAAGACGTGGCTCGTTCTCACCGCTCGCGACAAGTTTCAGGGCCAACCTCGGACTCTTTCACGGCAGCTAAGATGTTTCTCGAGGTTAAAAGCTTCGTTCGAGTGTCTGGGCTCACCTCTGACGAGAAACCGAAATAGGAGCTGGAAAATATAGATTCAATCGAACCATTCGAGGAGATTTAACGCGGTGGAAGTAATTCGGGTTACATTATCGCTACGAGGGGGATCAATTTCATCGTCCATTTCATCTCTGAATCTCTGAACGATACAAGCTTTAGCTTCTGATTAGTCTTGATCGATTGGGCCGACATTTTCACTTTTACCATTTGTCTTTTGGTATTGCATTAATGGTTAAATTAATCTGTGCCAGAAAATGGTAAATTCGGAGACTGGTACGAAGATTTTTACTATTTTCAAAATGGTGGACGATATTTTGATTCTTACTATTTTTTATTTTTGATATTATGTTAACTATTAGATTAGTGTATTTGGAAAATGGTAAATTCAGAGACTTGAACAAACTTTTTTAAAATATGTAAACGATATTTTGACTTTTACTACTTCATTTTTTACTATTATATTAATGAGTAAATTAGTCTGTGCAGAAAATAGTAAATTTAGTGACGTCTACGAATATTTTTATATTAACTATTATATTAACGATTAGTAGACTTTTTTTTTATTTTTACTATTTAATTTTTACTATCATATTCATGAGTAAATTTGTCTATTTAGAAAATGATAAATTCAGAGACATCTACGAATATTTTTACCATTTTAAAAATAGTAGACGATATTTTGACTTTTACTATTGTATTAACGATTAGTAGACAATATTTTGATTTTTTACTATTTAATTTTTACTATCATATTTATGAGTAAATTAGCCCATTCAGAAAATGGTAAATTCAGAGATGACTATGAATATTTTTACCATTTTAAAAATAGTAGTCGATATTTTGACTTCTACTATTTGATATTTACTATAATATTTTCGATTAAATTAGTCTATTCAGAAAATGGTAAATTCAGAGATTACTACGAATATTTTTACTATTTTAAAAATAGTAGTCGATATTTTGACTATTACTATTTGATATTTACTATAATATTTTCGATTAAATTAGTCTATTCAGAGAATGGTAAATTCAGAGACTAGTACCAGGATTTTGACTATTTCAAAAATAGTAGACGATATTTTGACTTTTACTATTATATTAACGATTAGTAGACAATATTTTGACTTCTAGTATTATATTAACTATCATATTACTCTATTCTGAAAATGGTAAATTCAGAAAAATGTAGGAAGATTTTTACTATTTTAAAAAATAGTAGTCGATATTTTGACTTCTAGAACTTGATTTTTACTATTATATTAACTATTAAATTACTTTATTCAGACAATACTAAATTCAGAGAACAATTGGAAGATTTTGTCTACTTTAAAAATAGTAGTCAATATTTTGACTTTTACTATTTGATATTTACTTTTTTTTTTTTTGATTAAAATAGTTTATTCAGGGAATGCTAAATTCAGAGACTCCTATCAAGATTTTTACTGTTTTAAAAATATTAGACGATATTTTCACTTATGCTACTTGATTTTTGCTATTATATTAACGATTAGTAGACGATATTTTAATTTTTAGCATTTGATAATTATTATTATATTGACGACTAAATTACTCTATTCAGAAAATGGTAAATTCAGAGATTCATACGAAGATTATTAGTATTTTAATAATAGTAGTCGATATTTTGACTTCTACTACTTGATTTTTACTATTACAGTAACGATTTAAATACTTTATCCAGAGAATAGTAAATTCAAAGACTCGTTGGAACATTTGGAGTATTTTAATAATAGGAGACGATATTTTAATTTTTACTATTCGATTTTTACTATTATAGTAACGATTAGTAGTCGATATTTTGACTTTTACCATTTGATATTTACTATTATATTAACGATTAAGTTAGTGTATTTAAAAAAAGGTAAATTCAGGGACTCGTTCGAAAATTTTCACTATTTTAAAAGTAGTAGACAATATTTTGTCTACTACTACTTGATTTTTACTATTACATTAACGATTAAATTACTTTATTCAGACAATAATAAATTCAGAGACTCGTACCAAGATTTTTACTGTTTTAAAAATAGTAGACCATATTTTGACTTCTACTATTCATTTTTACTATTATACTAACGATTAATAGACAATGTTTTGACTTTTACCATATGATATTTACTATTATAGCAACGATTAAATTATTGTATTGAGAGAATAGTAAATTCAGAAACTCGTAGGAAGATTTTGACCATTATAGAAATAATTGTTTTTGCTATTTTAAAAACAGTAGTCGATATTTTGACTTCTACTACTTGATTTTTATTATTACATTAACAATTAAAATACTCTATTCTGAAAATATTAAATTCAGAGACTCGTTGGAAGATTTTGACTATTTTAAAAATAGTAGACAATATTTTGTCTTCTACTACTTGATTTTTACTATTACATTAACGATTAAATTACTTTATTCAGACAATAATAAATTCAGAGACTCGTACCAAGATTTTTACTGTTTTAAAAATAGTAGACCATATTTTGACTTCTACTATTCATTTTTACTAT